GCAACTCTATAAGAACAAATTGATTATTTACTTTTAGGAATGTCGATTGGATATTCTTTAAAAGTAATGCCATAAAAAATATGCACTAATAAGAGTAAACCTTTCACAGGCGTAATTACAAGAAACAAGAGATTTTTTTCGAATCGCGATCACTACTTGACAATTTCGTAACGAACTTGTCTTTCTATCAACCTATCCCACAACTAGCAATGGGACCAGTCTGGAAATATGTTCATAATCCGGCACGCGGAAGTCAGAGTCTTTAAAGGTGACAGAACAAGAGCTTCCCTCTACCGAGGGCTAAACACTTTATGCATTTGAGAAGAGAAGAATATGTGCATACTTTGTGTGTCCTCACGTCTATGTACGTGCATGTGTGAGAGAGAAAAAAAAGAGAGAGAAAGAGAGAGAAAAAGAGAGAGAGAGAGGGAGTAAGGAAGCAGAAATAGAAACAGCAGCACCCGCTAATTGTCATAATTAACCGTGGAAGAGTTCCCAGGTTCAGGCGCTTGGAAGAAATATCGGTGGTTGATCTCTTCGGTTAGTCATAGCAGCCTCACGGAACTTTATCCGTTTACTCTTCATAATTTGCATAACTTCATTTAACCGCCTCCACAACTCCGCCTCCGCATTGATCTTGTGATCTCTGACCCTGTTACATCCTGGCATAATCTGAAACTCGCGCTAACTTCGGCTCGACCTTTCTCAGCTTGCATTTCAACTCGATTCACCTCGTCTTGTTCAGAGTCATCGGACGATCAGATACAAGTAGTAGCCCATTTTATAATGCTCGACAATAACGAGATCGCGATACTCCTACAATTTCTCCACCGTACAGACGCTTCTTGATTTTATGATAACAATCCTGTGGAATGTTTATTATTTCATTTTTCAATATTTTCATTTAGATTGGCATCTAAAACAACGGAATAGGAAATAGAAATAGAAAAATATAAAGTTAATTAATTTAAAAATGTAGTAATGCAATTCAAATCATTATCTAAATTAAAATTAAAAGAGAAAATATTAATAAAGTAGGATCGAATAAAAGTTACGTGATACATGGAGTACGAATCTAAAATGCAGACTGAGATATAATTGAAAGAAAACAAACAAAAAAGACAAAGAGAGAAAAAGAGAGAGAGAGAGAGAGAGAAAGAGAGAGAAAGAGAGAGTGAGTGAAAGAAAAGAAAAAACAAAGCACGTTTCAAGGGTCGCATCGAAAGTGTCAGCGACGCACTTGGAAGAAGTATCCTTTGTTATCCCTAGAAAGATGAAGCACTCGAGATCTCCCCGCACGGAGTGCTGTCAATTATCGAGTTTTAGTCGTCGAAACGCACGTAGCCCGCACGAGAGGAGAAGATGAAGCAGCGAGTAGCAGAGCACTGCTCTCGCTATTGGAGTCACCTGTTACGAAAGACGAACAGGCCCGTTATTCATTCTCGACAACGCTCGGAAACCTCTTCGAAGTCACATCTTGTCGGAAATAACCGTTTTCTATTGCGTCACGATGCCACTAGAGATCCCTTTCGGGATTCCATCTCGAGCTCTGACATACGGACTCTCTTCAACGACCATCAATCGTTTCTCCAACGTTTAGGATACTCCTTCCGACGATTCTTATATGATTAAAAAAAAAACCGGGGAAAGAAAAAGAAAGAAACAGAAAGTTCCTCACGATTGCTATAGGTAATCGGAAATTTTCTGGCTATAGTATACCTCTTAATAACTCTACGATCTTACCGATAAAACGGATCTAAAAGGAGTATGATCTCCATATATGCGATACATCGGACGTTAATTACTCTCAAACGTGTTTCTTCAATATGCATATATAAAATAATTTATAGTACATAATTTATTCCATCTTTCTATATATGCACTAAATTTGATTACCCTGATTACTCTAATATATTTATATGAGATATGATATAATTATATATAATCAATGAAATGTCTAGCGTATTCAGCAATAATATTCATTAATCCATTTCATATCTTATTATTAGAATCAATCTCGATTGATTTTCGCTATTTTAAGATTTCTAAGTACATATATTGAATTTCGCGTTTTATCCGCAATATCGTGACAAAACTGCCCTCACGGTCTTCTTTAACCGAAAGATGCGACGTCAAGTCTCTTAAGTTCCCAGGTGAAGGGTAATCATATTCCGCATTCCACGATAATGGCGAACGAATGCAGCCTCCGGGCTCTAACGGAATATACTTGAGAGCAGGCAGCAGCCTGGTTCTGTCGAAGCCGTGGGTGCTCCATAGACAACTCGTCTTTTAGCATCGGCCTTTCGGAAAGAAATTTTTATGTCACTGTAATTATCACTGTGCCAGCTGTCATGGAGGAAGGAAAGGAAGAGAAACAAAATTATTGTGTTTAACCTTTGAACCAGGCACGTACCAGCTGTTATCGATTGACAAATTATCGGTACGATGATAGTGAAAAGAGAAAGAAAGAAAGAAAATAGTAGACATCTAACGGTTTCGATCAGTATGGTGAACATTGCTCGTTCGACAGAAACAGACATGTATTCATCGAATGAACCTAGTAAAAGCTTACAGCATATAGAAAGATAAAGTCTATTATTCTCTAGATAGCAAAGAGAAAAGAATTACCTTTCTGCCTTGTAAAGCAATTCCGTGCTCTCAGCTCTTATACGGACACGGTGGCTTGCGTATCGAGAGCGCAAGTGAAATTAGTCTTGGTTCAGCGATTACAGACTACGACCTGGTCCTGCGAGCAAGATCGAAAGTAATGCAACGAATCAGAATGAATCGAAAAAGAACAAGAAGAAAGAAGAGAAAAAGAAAGAAATAGAAAAGGAGAAAGAGAGGAAAAAAAACGGAGTGTGGGCGCGACATATGGTCGCATCTATTCCATTCATGCGACTCTCCTACCTCTTTTTTTGATTACCATTGATACGACAATACGTGTGGCATGCTAAGAAAATGATCTACCGCGTTTTACAGATTCGAGAGACGACGAATCCTGTTTGACTTTTCGTATAATCTCTATATCTCTCTCATTTTTTTTTCTTCTTCTCATTTCCGCTAAACAATATCGAATGCATGTTCCTTAGATATGAGAAATCTTAAGAGTTAATAGATTGTCTAAGGAAAACGAGAAATATTGTTTTCAATACATTGGTTAATAATTACATTAGTAATGCAATAATCAAAAATTATAAACATTCTAAAAATTGAAAAAATAAAATCAAAAATTTATTTATCGTAAATTAAAATTCTTGAAATTCTTGCCCTTAATTTTTCAACAAGATTATATATGTACAATATACGATATGATATGAAATGACTAAAATTATACGTAAAAATCATATCAAAGAAGAATATTAATAAAAGTTAATCCATCGTCAATACTAGTTAAGAAACTAAAAAAAAACTAAACGTGATCCTTTCTTGGATTGTTCGAATACGAAGTAATCGTGCGAACGCGCATCCTCAATGTGTGCTGAAGTACCCATTCACCGAATTCCGCTGTTCAATAGGCTCTACAGTGAATACGCAATGACATAAGGCCGCGATTAGCTTTCAGCACGGTCTACGGAATTTATCACACAGAGCTGTTTGAGTTGTATAAAAAAAAAACGGTAAGGCGCGAGCGTTATAGGAAACGCAACGATTTAGAATTATCTGGAAGAATAATTTTTATTATGTTAATATACTTGTGCATATTTATCAGTTTTTGATAGAAAAAATAAAAGATAAATGTAATTTTATTGCGGCACGCAAGTAAGAAAAGCGTCAATATGGCATCGTTAACGAGCTTGCACAAGTACATAGAAATCATTTAGAGTACTTAGACGTCTTGTGTCGCGCTTCCTTAGGTTACAATGAAGTGTCGGCTGAGAAAAAGGAAGAAGTTACAAACTGAGAAAAGAAATCGTTGCGCAGACGAGTAACAACCCACGCTCTTTTATCTCGGTATTACTTTGTATTGAGTACGTTGTCGTGGTTGGAACGCGTCGAATTCGCGAAAGTTCCCTCGCCATTTCTTACGAACCGTTCTCTTCTTCATGATTATCGTCGTCTAATCGTTCGGTGAACTCAAACGATTTTACAATGATTCAGCATCCTTATGTACGTACCTACGTATTAGTGCAGGAATTCCGTTGTTTTTCTTCTACTTCGAAGAACTTCGATCAGTAGACATAAAAGTTCTAGCACTACCATTGAAATACATCCATTTTTGACGGATACCTACGCCAATACGAAAGAATTATTTTAAAGCGGTCAAAAGCGTACACACAGAGAAGCAGTTATTCCCACGCAGTTACACCTCCTGAAATCACAGTAGTCGAGTAGCACGCACGAACATATCTACACGAACGAATGCAAACGCATTTAATTGCATCGCATCGTTTATGGACGCTTTAAACGTCGACAGCACTCGTTACGGATTTTCACACCTTCGTCGACACGCGTACTACGTACCTCGAAGCATTTCCGAGATTCATTCGCATACAACTCATAGCTCGCTCGCGAGAACTACTCAGTCAAAGTGCGAAAGTATGCGATTGGCTCGCTCCCAAGCGTCTACTATTGCACGTTCAGCTGTCAAAGAAAACCAGCTTGACAGTTCCAGTAGAACGAAACGTGACTGAACGAGTCTCTTATCCGTCTTACAAATGAATATTTCCGAGATTGCTTTATTAAAACGTCCGAAATTGATTGTCTTTTATAGAATTTTGTAGAACTTCTTTTATAGAGAACTTTTATAGAACTACTTAAGCTTCGATAAATGCCGGCTAAAACTTCATAGTTTTAACAAATGTACAAGTTTCGTGTGATCACTCTAACTTCTAAATGTTCTACATTTTATCTACATTTTTAATCATTGCAGTTTACTTCCGAATTCTACAAAATTACATATACTTTTTCATCAAATTTACAACGCGACTAAAGAAAATTTTTTTTTTTATTTGGATAACACACAAAATCTAATGAACGTTTTTCCTCGTTTGTTACAGAGGACGGAAGATAAGTGTCGACATGTCGGCGTTGAGCACCAGCTCCTATAAACCTGGAATAATTCTTTGCTTGGTGATCTTCTTGGTCCCACAATCCACGCATTCTGGTAAGTTTTCGTTTTAGAAAAAGAAATCGATCTCATTTTAAATAAGTAAAAATAGCTCCTCTTTCAATCATTTTCTGCTTCTCTCTATCAATTACTTTCTCTTAAATTTTCTCTCTCTCTCTCTCTCTCTCTCTCTCTCTCTCTCTCTATCAATTACTTTCTCTTAAATTTTCTCTTTCTCTCTCTCTCTCTCTCTCTCTCTCTCTCTTTCTCTCTCTCTTTTTCTATCTCTATTTCTATCTCTCTTTCAGTCTATCACCGTTTACTTCGGCATTTTTTAATCGGAACAAACGAGCAGTAAATTTTCTCTTTCCCCTTGAGATTCAAGTAATTTTTACGATTATAAACTTATATAAAAATCACATGAAACGTGGAAACTTTTCTAATGTCTAAATGAACATCAATTAATGCAAGCAATTTCTACACGTTTGGCACGAGTCAACGTTGGTGTACGCATTCATGCATGCGCAGATACGTATACACGCGCGCAGCTTATACAAGGCCAAGATCCGAAGCTAACAGGCCGTCGAACCTCTCAGCGCTCGCTTCTCTTCGACCATAGACAGCTTACCTCATAGCGCTCACCTCTGACTTTGACCAAGTCGCTGGTCAAGATGCTTTCTCATATACCCAACGAACTATCTAATGGTTCTCAGTTCTTCTCCAAGATATGATTACTCTCTTTATCATAGTTGAATTTCTATGAATTTCTTCTTCCATTTACTTCGTCTTGGCGATTCGAACGTTTATCGATCTATCAACATGCCTGAACAATAATGATTTTCTCTTGAGATATCCAATATCGAAACTTGTGCCTTTTCACGAACACTTAAAGCTTAAATTAGAAACACTTTCCTACGTTATCGTGAAAAGAACAAAAAAAGAGTTTGCTATCCTATTTCGTAATCGTTCTAAGAAGAACACAGAATTATACGAAGAAAGAGAACACTGTGACTTGCAAAAACATTGAATCGACAATGAGTACTGATCGAGAATGCGTTGTTCTTGCTTCTCGCTTCTCCTCCTCAATCGGCTGTGCAAAGATGAAGAAGCGAGTAAACGAAAGGAAGTGAAAAGAGATCTTTTCAGCGAAATCGATTCTTTTTATCTTTCAAAGTGAGATTACTAAGTGATCTTGTCTGTTGGCTATCCGTCGCGCTTTCTGCTCGAATACGCATCAAGACTTCTCTCCTATGTACCTACTTACCTATCTATGATTTACGTTGTTACGCATAAGTTGGATTTTCTCGAGCGAAACGAAACGAAAAATGCTCGCACAATCCCTGAATCCACGTGATAAGAAAGAAAAATCTATTTAGGAATATTCTCGCGACAGAGGCTTCGTGTCCAAAGATAATAAAAAAAAAAAAAGACAAATAGGAAGATATACAGTAGACAGCTATATAGCGGTTTCTACACTCGCGTCTGCATCCGTGCGATGCAACGAGAATTCTGGTTAAACCTGTAGCCTTCGAAGAGCCGCCTTTCAAGCCTCTGGTAGAAATGTCACTGACCGCGCGTACCTCACCACGTTGCCCACATACAGTCCATGTCCCGACGCACCTGATGCTCGAGCCATCCCATATATTTATGTATCCCATATTCCAATGGAGCTGGAGCTTATCATTATCAAAACATATACGTTAAAATCCGAGATCTTGCTCGACTCCAATGTCATTTCGATCCTTGAATTACATAATATTTTAAGAAAAATAATAAACTTGGTTTTGTTAAAAGATAACGTAACAACACCGTAAGTATCTCTAAAATACATACTTATTATATACATATATATATATATATATATATATATATATATAACTTGCAAATACGAACTTTAGAATTAATTATTATAAAAGAAGATCGTAAAAAAAAATAGATTACTTACACAAAAATGATCTTTATCATTATTATTTCGACACGTTTTTTAATTGTAAAAGGATAAAAATAAAATATATACAAATTTAGAATAAAATTATTATATCGGTCTCATTACTTTTCGAGTAATATTTAATAAATATAGAGGAAACTTCTTCTCATGGATCATAAGAATTTTCGAAAAAGCGAGAAAGCATAGAAAGGACCTATTGTAAGTCGATTCCAAAGCAAGTTCCTTCGTTTTCTATGTATTCATCTTTTCCTATTCTTTTCTCCTGTCCTTTTCGCTATTTATCATACTAAGATGGTGAGGTCAGCCGCGGTCATCCAACGAAACAAAGTATAATAAAACGTGTGGATACAACATCAGTGTAATGCTGATTAAATAATCGTATCAATAGTGTTATCAAAAACTAATTCAAGCAGGATTTCATCGAAACGCGCTCTGTTCTTTCAGTCGATTTAACTACAAATATAAGCGTGTGAACTTGACCGAAGATATTGAATAAAGCCACATTCTTACGATATAGATATATTACGTGCTTTCCATCGAAGAGAATATAAATATATTTACATACTATTAGCACTATTCCGTTTTCATTTATAAAATAAAAAATGCCAATGAACTCGATCCGTTAGTCTCGCTAAGGTAATCTATGGTTATTCTGAGTCGGAAACAATTTAGTATTATACTCAGAACCGGTTAATCGACCTTACTTGATCGTATATTTTCGATATAAGCTAGTATTTCTCTGAGAATAACCAAAGATAATCTTTTAAATTTGGCTAATCATACGTCAATCGATTCGTTATTAACATAAAGTATTGATCTTGTATCTTTTCTCCTCGATCCGAAGTATACTGAGAGAAACCGCAACCTTGAAAACGATGCTGAGTGCAGAATTTCGTATACACGATACGCCAAGAATTACAGCCAGGTGTTTATCCAAGCGTGTGTGGTTGATGGTAATGAACCTTCGCGAGGCAAGGCCGCCGAGAATGATTTCATAATGCGCGCAATGAGTTCCTTCGTCTCTCTCCCTCTTTCTTTCTCTTTTTCTTTCTCTCTTTCTTTCAATCTGTATCTTGTACCCACACTCGTAATATATAATAACAGTATTGTGCACCCGTACGTGTCTTTCAACGTAAAAGGGAGAGAGATAAAGTCAAAAAGAGAGAAAAAGAAAGAAGTGAGAGATACGCAAGATGTGCGACAAGGATAAATAATAAAGGAAATGGAGAAGGAAAGAATTTGAAGAATTGGAGAGGGAAAGAGAACGTGGCGATACATTAACTTACATAATATCTTCTTGCAATACCCCGTGATGTATAGAATCTTCCGTGCTCGATTAGCATCGAAGTAAGTAAGCAGAGAGCCCATTAATCACCCGTGAAATTTCCTTTTCATGATGAAAATTTGTTATCCTCTTAAATACTACCTCGTAAATCCTTTCGATTCGCTTTATTAAAGTAAAAATTGGCGATCTTATTCAGATCTCGTAGTATCAAGTTTCGACGTTAAACAAACCGTTATATAATCCGTTTGGATTATACATTAATATTATATTATATATAATTTATATATTAATACCTGATAAACGACTTTTTATCGAACAAGTTTCTGAAAAGAAACGGGATCACTTTTTTCCGTCATTTTTATTGCAAATAATCATACCCTCTCCTTTCGCTCTATTAAATCGATAAATAAAAAATTTAGCTAAGTACCTCGTTAATATTCTTCGAAAACATTAACGACAAAACGAAACTACAATTTTTCGCGTCTTCTCCACAACGAAGATACTCATAAGATAATGCAGCCTCACTTTTGTATTTATATTTGCTACTTAAATCTCATTTAAAATTATTCGACTTTTTATCATCCATCATAGTCCATAATTTGTTGGAAAGAAAAAAGAGAAAGAGAAAAAGAGAGAGAGAGAGAGAGAGAAAATGAAAATTTATTACCATACAAAATATACGAGGAATGTATAATAATAAGAGTTTAATGGATTTATGAGGTAACTTGTGACGCATCATTTTTTACACAAAAAGATCGCTAATTTACATTTATAAGTATTGGATGCTTTTTTCGTGCGGAACCCAAGGAATATGGTACTGGGTCATATCAAACTTAAATGCTACGCGATGTTTTATCGGCTCGTATGATGCTTATTCGTATAATAGTAATTTAGGTGAAGCAACATACGAGTAAGTAGATACATATATACAACATACGAGGAACTCATACGTGCCGGGGCCCGTACGTCTGTCGCGTATGCGTGGAGGCACGCGGAGGCACTTCGTGGGACTCGCAATAGGGGCCCCATTCACAGACCCGCTAGTGATTCTCAGTACAATTCAATTCGCTGGAAACTGCCAGCTTTGAATTCCGCAACGAGCAAAACGGCGATCAAAATGGAATGTTAATTTTAATATTCCCGAGTCGTGATATTTTCTGAAATTTATTTTGAGCGAAAATTTTCCATCTTTCTCTATGAAAATCTATTTGATTATCTTCACGTACGTTAAAAATCCCACGTTAAGACAATACCTGTCAATTAAAAATCAGAGACTTGATAAATAAACTGCAGAAGAGTCAAAATGTTTCAATCAGAAATAGCTTAAAACTGTTTTCACATTCCTTTACCAGGAACGTATTGTTCAATGAAAGAGCGATACAAGAGATACTAATCCTTCGACTCGCGGTGCACGTAGCCTCCGCAGAAACGCTTCATGCATTTCAAAAGAGTAACGTCTACTTTTTTAGAATGAAAAATATCTGTGACATCGTGTAAAAAAGTCTTTTTTCTTCAATTTCGTAACAATGTTTTGACAAATGTACCTCATACAAAAATAATGATATTACGCCTATGTCGTCGATCGTAGAATTTATTATTAAAAATGAAGATAGACATTTTGCCTTAGGTAGGAGCTTCGATAGGAGAAATAATTTCACGAGTATCATAAACTAAAAAAATGATGGGTCCATAGATAGGTAACTACTCCTATAAGAATCAGAAGACTAGCTCGCCAATTGACGTTAAGGAGGGTGCTTTGTCGTGTTCCAGGGACAATCGAAGACGAGTTCCGCTCGCGGAACTTTAATACCAAGAAAATTATAAAAGCGACGCGCGAGGAAAAAAGTACATAACGTAGGTAGAGAGTACGAAAAGGATAAAAGGATAAAGAGGAAGGAGAAGAAAGAGAATTTTGTATTCCGCGTACACTCGGCATACAATTCGTACGACCAGGGCGAGGGTGTTAACGAGAATTCGCCCACGTACGCTCGCGCCATATGACGCTTTGACTCACTCCGTTGTTAAAGCCTTGTTCACCCTCCAGACAAACGCCTCCCGCCGCCTGGTAATTATTATGATAAACTGCGAGCACCGAAGCTGCATTCGTCTCCCTATAGGATTCGAAAGAACGACTGAAATGACGACACGAAAACTCGAGTTTCCGAAATAATTTGTACCTCACTTTAATCACATTATTTTCAATGAAAATCTCTCCACTCGGAAGCGAATAAGATCTCGATTTACACCTTAATCCCCGCTTATCTAGTTAGATGATATCGTTCCGGGAAAACGATTAAGCTAATTTTTACATTGATAATACGAACCATTTCATGGTTTAATATAAAGCAATCTATACACAAATTTTCTTCGAATCTATCAAGCTATTAATCTTTACTTTATACTATTCGCACAATCAAGCATTTTCAGTACAAACCGAGGTAACAATGTTAATAAAATCGAATCGTTGTATGTATGTACACGATAATGACAATAACATCCACATTTGTTTTGTTACAGCACCAGTATACGACCAAGATACCACACAAGTCGCAGAGTACGATGGAGGTACGTAGATACACACATTCGTTTGACTTTTATTCTTTCTAATCACCCAACGCGCACTAAGTCGTAAACACGGGCGTATTAATTGTAGCGCACCGTGCATATCGGCCACACGCACCGATTCGCTCGATAATTCTGATCAAGTCGAGTAGGTTCTTAGGTCGATGCTCGCTCGAAAGAATAACAACAACGTTCGATGCGACTCGTGAGCCTAACAATTCAAATGCTAATCAACGCTTACCTATTGTTTTCTCAGAAAGCTTGATAGCGCATAGTCGAGGTACGATAACTGTAAGGGTCAATGAAATTCGCAGGTGCAACAGGCTGTTACTACAACTTTCAACATTACCAGGAAAGTGACAGAATTATAACGAACGAGCCATGTCTGAACTGTACGTGTCATAATCGAATGTTGATGTGCTACTTGAGAGTTTGTCCCTTCTCAAAGGCTATTGGACAAGACTGTACGGTCGAGAAAAGACCCGATCAATGTTGTCCCGTGATCACTTGTCCGGAAGTACCAGTTCAATTGCTTACATCGACTACCAATGCTCCAGCAACATCTGACTCGACGGAAATTGGCTTCCGTGATAATTATGGATGTAAAATAGATGATCGGTTTTATCCCGACGGTGCCCAATTACCACTCGATCCTCAGAATCCTTGCGAACTTTGCTACTGTATCAAGAACAGAACCACTTGCGTGATACAGGAGTGCACGCTACGTGTGGCAGGATGCAAACCTGCCTACCAACCGGGTGTATGTTGTCCGGTCAAGTACAACTGTGGTAAGTTTCATTTGCATATCGTACGTTCATGTGAGTACTCTTTCTTGTATTGCTTCTATTGACTTTCGTTATTTGTAAACACATGTTCTACCTAACGTGACATTTTAGACAAGCATGATATACAAGCCAGTGCCCGTGTCAGTCGTTTGTACGTCATTTTGTTTATATACCTTCTCTTTACGCGTTTCTATCTAGAATAAATGTTATCGAAATAATTTGATCATATATAAAAAACATATCTATTAACCGTCCGACAGATATAATTTATATCTGTTTAATCTCGAGTTAATTTTTCATTTCTATAACAACAATATAGAGGACAAATAATAGATGATAATTTAACGCTATTAACATTAACAGAATATGACGAAGAACTTGAAACTACGGTTGGACCTATATCTGGCCTCATCATGACTACTACGATTGCTCCCGGTGCAACGCCACAATGTTATTATGAAGGTAAATTTTACGAGGACGGTGAATTGATTTATTCAACACAACCTTGCCAACACTGCTACTGCTTCCGTGGCGATATCGCTTGTGCCGTTCAAGACTGTGGTACACCTATGAAGACGCATGGAGAAAACTGCACTGCTCTACCACCGCCTGAAGGAGAATGTTGTCCGACCACGTATCACTGCGGTAACAACAATATTTATTATATCAAACACATTCATGAATGACTTCAAAAAAATCTGATATAAATAGCAATATTAATAATACGATATGATTGTATTAATACAATGCCATTTTATCTATCAATTTTTTTACAGAGGACAATGGTCAAAATGAAAGTATAACTATACCAGAAGGAATAGAGCAAACCTCTGAAATTAATCAAGTACAACCAATAGTAACCACTCCGGAAAAAGTCGAAGAACCAGAAGAACAAGAATTTGAAATTACAAGCGAAGCATTCCCTGGTGCTGACAACGCGATTCCGCACGACCACAAAATTAAAGCAGAACAAACTGAAGAATCTATTAAAGCTGTGGAATCTACTGAAAAGTCTGCAGAGACAACAGAAGAAAAAGAGGTAACTGAATCTGAAACAATGTATGGTTCAGGAGAAGTAAATCTTCCCGAAGAACACGATGTAGAACTGACTCCTGTAAATATACCTGATACGGAAATTAAGCCAACCGAGGAAACTCAAACGATCCAAAACCAAAATACAGAAGTCCCTATCTTGATAAAGGAAACTGAGAAACCTATTTCAATCGAGCAAACTGAGACACCCGTTCCAACAGAAAAGATAACACCTATCTATACGGAAAAATCAGAAATACCTCTCGTTGCAGAAAATACCGAAAAGCCTATTACCATAGAAGAAACTAAAACACAAGTTTCTGAAGAAGAAACTGAAATTCCAATCACACTAGAAAAATCTGAAGATTCGTCCACTAAACCATCCGAAGGTGTACAAGAAGCAATTGAAATTTCGATAACCGAGAATGTCCCAACAGTTTCTTCGTCTTTAGAAGGACTAGAAACTGAAACGGAAACTGCAAAAAAAGATCAAAAAATTGAACAACCCGAAAGTACCGAAGAAAATGTCACTTTAGAAGAACATCAAACACAAGCAATAACAATTGAAGGTGCAATGAAAACAGAGGAATTAACTGAACCTTTGATTAGCGAACAAGACCATACTGAGAGTACATATGAATTAGTACCATCGGAAGAAACAACAAATCCCCAGGAACCAGGTGAAGAATCTGGAAAGTCAACTGAAGTAATAGTATCTACTGAAGGAGTATCAGAAAAAACTACAGAAACAATTAGTCAATATGAAAGTACAACAAAATTATTTGAAAACGAAGAACAATCAAGTCTTGAGACAAAAGAAAGTGAGATTCCGCAGGAAATCACAGAAAAAGCTACTACGTTAAACCCAGAAAAATCTCCAATAGCAGAAGTAACTGAGTCCGAAAAACCTGTTGAGATTAGTGAATCGGGAAAAGTTGAGCCAATCGAAATTACTACCAGTTTACTAGGAGTTCAAGAAACTGAACAACAATATCCACCTGCAGAGCAGAAACCTAAAAGTCCAGAGCCTGAATTAGAGTTAAAAGAAAAGCTCCCACCTCTTGCTCCTAAAAGAGATGACTTTGGCTCGCCTGAAGTAGATATTAATCAACACCCATTCATCAAAGAACCGCATGAAACAGAAGTAGACGAACAAATTTTTGAAAATATACCAGGATACAAAACAGAAGATAAAGAATCAATTCCGGAAATACATATAATCGAAAGTAATGTTGATATTAAAAAACCAGAAATGCACGCTCCTGAAAGTCTTGTAACTGAAACTCCAGAGAAAGCTCTTACGTCTGAGACAGCTTCTAGTACAATTACTAAACATGAAGAAAATGAAATAGAAACTGAAACAAAAGTAGAGAAACCTATTGAAGAAACGATACCAGATCAAAAAGAAACATCTACTACCGAAATTACACCTACTGCTTTGGACACAAAAGCTAGTCATACTCCTGAACTTCACGTTTCTACAGAAGTACAAACTATACAAGAAGAACTTGAACATACTGAAAAATCAATTATACCTGAAGATTATGTCACAGGAACAATAGGTCCTGAAATTCATTTGACAGAAAAAATAACTACTGTTGAAGAATTACCAACAAAAGGTCTTACTTTAGGAGAATTTGGAGAAACTTCGTCGGAAGAAGTGAGTTCTGAAACGTCTAATGGCAATGAAGAAATAATGCCAGGAAAAGAACAATTTAACGAGGAAGAAGGTGAAGCCGAAGAGAAATTACAAAAACCATCTTCTGAAGAAATCTCGACTGAAAGTTCTATTTCTGAACAAGAATCAACAAGTATACCTGCCAGTGAAAAATCAGTTGAAGAAGGTGTAGATACAATTAGTGAAATTTCACCTACTGAAAAACAACCAGAAATTCCACAATTCGAGATACAACCAACAGAAACTACTACAGAAGAAGGAGAAGTTACTATTAAAGAAACTGAACAGAAAGAATCTATAGAAACACCAAAAGTAAGTCCACCAAGTGAAACTGAACAGAAAGAATTTATGGAAACGTCAGAAGTTAGTAAACCTAGCGTAATGCATACTGTAAACGAAGTTGATGTATCAGAAACAAAAGCTCCAGAAGAACCAGAGATCGTGAAAGTAACTGAATCAACAGCTGTAAGTGAAGAAGCAACTGTTGTTTCAGAAATTGTGAGTGAGGAAAGTACAACAAAACAAACGGAAGAAATCTCGACGAAAGAACATATTCTTGAAACATCTGAAATTACCGAAAATATCATTTCGGAGGAAGTGTCAGAGCAATCGGTTATTCCAAACAATAAATCAACAGAAAGCATTGAAATAGCGGAAGCATATACATCGGTACCTTCTGTAATCGAAGAAGAGCCTGTCGTAGAAGAAAAATCAACAGAAATGCCCTCATTAATAGAAAAAGAGCATACACCAACACTAATTTCTAAAGAAAAATCGATTGAAGAATCTGAAGAAGAGAAGAAATCTGAAATTATACCTATAAAAGAAGAACTTACAGAAAAAACACCAATAACCGAAACACAAACAACCGAGAAATCTAATGTTAAAGAAGAATCGGAGGAAGAAAAAGAGACTGAATCTTCTGTTACTGGCAAATATACAACAGAAACTTCAACTGTAGAAGTTAAAGGTACAGAGATTATTAGTGAGCAGTCTACCGAAAAGATAAGCGAAGATGAAGAACAGAAAATTCAGAAACCATCCTTTGAAGAAGAAAAATCTACTGAATCCACTGTCGGAGAAGGAAAAGAACCCATAGACAGTTTTGAAAAAAAGCTGACAGAAATAATTACTGAAGAAAAAACAACTAAAATTTCTATTCCTGAACAACCCGAAACATCTACTATGATCTCGGAAGGTGAACACGATGTTTTCGAGGATAATATTAGAGAACAATCTACCGAACAAGCTGCAGTAAGTGAAACATTTTCTGGACAACCTACAGTGAGTGAGTCAACTACTGAACTTTTTAGCGGAACGATACCTCCTGTAATTGAATCGAAAGTCCCAATAGAATCTCATATTGAAGAAAAAAAGCAACCAGAAACTGAAACTTCAGTGACAAAAGAATCATCTACTGAAACTCCAATACAGCAAGAAGAATCTACCTCCATCGAATCAATCTCTGAAAAACTAATCCCTGAAGAACAAGAAGGAGTCGTAAGTACTACTAAAATAACTGATGAGATCAATGGAAGTACATCGCAACCAGAAGAATCATCTAAAGAATCAACTGAAGCAGCAATTCCTGCTGAATCATCTATGACAACAAAAGAACAAGAAATTGAGGAGCACACTGAAGGTATTTCTGAAGAAAAATCAGACGAAGAGAAGAATCACGAATTAACAAGTTCTGTTGGAATATCGACGGAAGAAACTTCGTCGGAAGTACCAATTATAAAAGAAACGACAGAAATACCCGAGGCGGAAGAAAAACTTCACAAAACAACACTAGAAATTGACGAAGAGAAAACAACCACGAAATCTATCGAGACACACGAGGAACAATCAACGATTACACCTTTTAAAGAAGAAATATCGGGAGTAAAACTAACATCTCCATCATTGATAATAACTGGAATACCATCCGAAAAACCGATTGAATACTCAACTGAACAACAGCTTGCAGATATTACAGAAATAATACCAACAAATGAAATAACTGAATCAGCAGAATCCAAACCTACATCTTCAGATATACCAGGTGAAGGTAATTGTCTCGTTGATGGACAATCTTATAATAATAACTCGGCTATACCTCCAGCGAATCCTTGTCAATTGAGTTGTCAATGCATTAGCAGTATCATCCAATGTGAGCTTATGCTTTGTCCACCACCTCCAACTCATTTATCTAATTGTATGCCAGTACATGCAAGTGGATCTTCATGTTGCCCAATATACACATGTGACTCCACTCCTACAATTGAATTAGAAGCAGATAATCATATGATTGAACACCACACTCCGAAATATGAAGAAAGTGAAAAACCAGAACATATAACGTCTATTCCCAAAGTTACAGAAATTCCATCAGCATTTAGCGACCATACAGGTGAAGGAGAAGGTCAAGAGCATGTATCATCTTATCCACACACTTTAGAAACTGTATCAGAACATGGAACTGAAATAGGAAAAGAAGAAGAAGCAGTAGAAGAACGAATAACCATTAATCCAATAGAATCTGTTAGTGAAGAATCCACAATTACTCAAGAACATAAAAATTTACAAGAAGTTTCATCAAAAGAGACTTTGAGTGAGCAATCTACAACAGAATCTACATTATCGATTACTACACAAAAAACTGTAGAAGTTACCGAGCAAGAAAAAGAGATAGTCAAATTTTTACCTTCTACCGAGGAATCAATCGTAGAACAAACTACTGAAAAAGTAACATCAGTTCCTGTAGCTGTAGAAACGGAAACTACTGTTTTAATGGGAGAATCTGAAAAGATACCTGAAGGCGGTACCGAGGAAGGGGTATCAAACGAAGCGACTGAACAAACGATGAGTGAAGCTTCTATATCTACGACAGCAGAAACGATGAGTGAAGCTCCTATATCTACGACAGCAGAAACGATGAGCGAAGCTTCTATATCTACGACAGCAGAAACGATAAGCGAAGCTTCCATATCTACTGTCTCTGAAATATCTAATGAAGTAACAGAAGAACAATCTAAAGAATCTGAAGCATTTGGAGGTATTCAAGAAGTAATTGTATCTACTGAACATGGAATTACTTCTACTGAAGAAGAAATAACACAAAGTGCAGAAACTGAAGGACAAACAAAAATAGAAATGGAAACGACCAAAGAGAAAGAACAGCCTGACAAACTAATTGAAGTAACATCTGAACGGCCAACTGAACATTACACCGAACAAGAGTTTACAGATATTACTAAATTAGTAACAACAAGTGAAGTAAGTTCTCAAGCACCTGAAGAAGCGAAACCTACGCCAGTTGAACACCAGACTGTGGAACCTGAAAGTGAAACTACAAATATAAATATATCAGAATCTAATACAGAAATTTCTACTAAAATTGACTTACTCATTACAGAGGACCAAACCGATATTTCTAAAGCAACTACTACCATTAAAAGTGAATCTGTATCTAGTTACGAAGAAATAACTACACCTACTATTGAAAGCAATCAATCTACAAAAATTCAAGAGAGTGAAATTTTAGACGAAGAAAAAGACAAAACGATTGAACAAACTACAAAATCTGTTGAAAAGTCTACGGAAATATCGACACAACAACCTACAGATCAAACAGACATTCCTATGGTAACCGAAAAACAATCAGTTGTACACATAGAAGAGACACCGATACCAGTAACATCAAAAGACACAGAAAGCAGCATCTCGACAAAGACAGAATCTACAGAACCTACCGTTATTGTAGACAATGAAACTCCCTTATCTTCTGTAGAGGAACATACAGAACCAACAATTTCAGTAGAAACTCAAACATCAACGTTAGTTTCAGTCGAAGAACATGATGAAAGTGAAGAAATACCCAAAAAATCTGAATCAGCAGAGAAACAGAACGAAGAGAAACCGGTAGAAGTTACAACAACGGAAAAGGAAATCTCTGAACCTAGTGAAGTTGAAGTTACAGAACATAGTATATCTTCGGCAGATTCTACTACACCTACCATAGAAAAGCATGTAACAACGACAATAGAAGAACAGACTATTAAATTTGAGGAAACATCAACTAAGGAACCGACCCAAGAATACACAACTCTATCAATTTCTCCGATATATGAGGAAACAATTGCAACCTCAACACCGTTTAACGAGAAAACTTCTGAAAGTATTCCAATGGAAGAAGAACAAACAAAAGAAAAAACTCTTGAAAATATCGAAGGAGAAACAGTAGGCCCAAATGCCATTATAGAAGAACAAACTATTTCATCAAACGTACCAATAATTCATGCTGAAGAAGAGCATCAACCTGAAGAAATTACTCAGAAACCTTTCAAAGAAGAGGCAACAACCTCTACAAGTATTACCGAAATACAACCTACCTTAGCCATAAACGAAAAAACGCAGCAGCATCTAGATGAAGAAATTTCTTTCAACATTGAAAGTACTTCTACAGAAAAATCGGAATCAGTAGCAACTGAAGTCACGGAACAGACTAAGCAAATTGAAGAACAAGAACCGAAAAAGGAAGAACAAGTAGGTGAAGGACAGCCAATTGAAACTTCAGAAGTTAGTGAAGTGACTGAAACTTTAGTAACTTTCAAAGAAAAACCAGTTGAATCCTCTATACCAGAAGAAAAACCAACTGAATCTCCAACATTAGAAGAAAAACCAACTGAATCTCTAACATTAGAAGAAAAACTAACTGAATCTCCAACATTAGAAGAAAAACCAACTCAATCTCCAACATTAGAAGAAAAACCAACTGAATCTCTAACATTAGAAGAAAAACCAACTGAGTCTTCAATATTAGAAGAAAAACCAACTGAATCTCCAACATTGAAAGAAAAACCAACTGAGTCTCCAATATTAGAAGAAAAACCAGTTGAATCTTCTACATTGGAAGAAGAACCAATTGAATCCTCTACACCGGAAGAAAAGCAAAGTGATGTTTATATCACCAGTGAATCTTCTGCGGCCAGTGAATCTTCTACGCCCAGTGAATCTTTTACGCCTAGTGAATCTTCTACGTCCAGTGAATCTACTACGTCCAAAGAAAAACTAATCGAATCATCTACATCAGAAGGACAACTGCTTGAAACAACGTCACAAGAAAACCCGATTGAATCATTAACACCAGAAGAAAAACCAATCGAGCCATTAATACCAATAGAAGATCACACTGAAACCGAACAGAAAACAGAAACACCAATCAGTAAAGGAGAAACCTTGAAACCGTCTACATATGAAGATGAAATAGAAAAGATATCGGAACAACCTCCATTGGAAGAAACGCAAACCACTGTAGAAGAAAGTGTTTCTAAAATACCTGTAATAATTAGTTCTACCGAAACAGTTCAGACAGAGCTCATTGAAGAGCAAAAAGGGGGTGAAACTGAAGAACATTCTGTAACTCCAATCGAAGAAGAAAAATCGGAAACACCAGAAAGTACAGAAAGTATTTTAATAAAAGAACAAGAACCAACAAAAGAAACCACAATAACAGATCATTTAGTATCCGAAGAAAAAGCAACAACAGTTTCAACTATTCGTGAAGAAGAAATTCAATCTACAGAAGCACCAGCACCTACCAAAGAAGCTCCTTCCAAAGGTGAAGTAGAATTTCCACTGGCAGGAACAGAAGCATCTAGCGAAGTGACAATTAAAGAACAGTCTACCACAGAGCCCATAAGTGAAGAATCAATAACTAAATCAGAAGAAGCAGAAAAGGGCAAGGAAGAAATCACGGAGTCTACTCTTCCAAAAGAAAAACCTGTACCAACGAGTCTTAGTTCGATAACAGAAGAACCTGAAGAGAAAATGACATCAGGACCAGTTGTAACAGAAGAACAAGAATTAGAAATTTTGTCAGTAAAACCGGAAAAAGAAGAAGAGACAACGGAATCGTCTACCGAAGGATTCATTACGAAGTTACGACCTATACCGACTGAATTATCGATCACTGAAACTTCTGAAAAAATTTCGGGAAGTGATCACGAAGAAGGTCAAGAAGAAGTACAATCACACATTGGCATTACTCAACCTGAATCTTCTTCGCAAATTCCACAGACAGATAAATCCGAAGGTCAACTAACTGTCGGATTAGATGAGGAACACTTACAGCCAGTCAATCATACCATCGAAACTTCTGAGCCGATTTTGGAAGAACATCATGTGACGAGTAGTGTAACACCCCAAACAGGCGTGGAATATCCTGAACAAACAGTATCCGGCGAAGATAATCCTCACTTCCCCATGCATGGTGGTAGTTACTTAAATCCCGACGAAGATTACGACGAAGACGATCAGGCGATTTATGGGCCTGGCACTTGTAGATACGGTGGAAAGGTTTACATGTCCGCCCAACAAATACCAAGAGACGACCCATGTGATTTCTGCTTTTGCTTTAGAAGCGACATCATCTGTCTTCAGCAAAGTTGTCCACCACCGATACCAGGATGCCACGAGGAACCTATTAGCGGTTTCTGTTGTCCTAGATACGAGTGTCCTGTATCGATGGCTACATCTCTTAATATCACTACAACTACGACCACGACTACTACTACGTTACCTCCACACTTTTTAACGCATGCCTATAAAGGTGCTGCAAAACGAAGTGGATGTCAAATTCGAGGCCAAGCATATCATGTAGGCGAAGTTATTACATCCGCGTCTGGTCCATGTCTTCATTGCACGTAAGTATTAAACTGACATTGATAATAAATGTTTTTCTAAAACATTTCTCGTAACTCCTACTGACTTGTCTCTCATATCTTATTTTTCAGTTGCGGAGGTGACGGCAATATGAAGTGCGATCCACGAGTATGTTCTCCGGAGCCAATGCTGAGGCAAATGATCGCCGCGGCTACAGCCAGAAGAAGGAGATGAGCCGTTCGTAATGGTCCCCTGGATCTATCCCGACGAAGAAGCGAATACGAGGGAGCCATGAAGGAAGTGTTGTATAAAAGTGAATTAAAATTATTCTAAACTACCTAAACGTCGCAGAACACAGACAATAATGTGCTTCGACGTTCACGAACCGAGTGGCCAAAACGTAAACGTTTATATTATAATATTATATTATGTTATATATATATAAAAAAAAAAAAAACAAAAAAACAAAAAAACAAAAAAAAACAAAAAGAGGAATGAAAGAAAGACAAGAGCAGAAGGGAAGTCAAAAGGGACATGTGGAGAATTTTAATTAATGTAATGAGACGCGCGTTTCCAGTGCCAAAACGTGGCGAATGAAGAATAAACTTGCAAGGGAGGAAGTTTTAATGAAACAAAAGAAAAAAGGAAAAAAGATAAAAGGATAAAAAATTAAGAAGCACCACTTTCGTGTTGGTTCCATGCTCATATCTCATTCTACGTCTGATAACATTTCTTACGAAAATACGACTCACTCAAGAAAAAAAAGAAGGAAAAAAATCGTAAAACGAAAATTATTTAAAAAAAAAAAAAAAGAAAAAAAAACGTTTGAAATTTACGACTGTGCCTTCGTCAGTGTCGTCGAGAGTGGCATTACTTTCGTTTATAGCGGCAGCTGCGCAACAGCAACATTAATGAAAATCATCGACATCATTCTCCAAAGAATTCTAACTGCAACAATTAGTGGTAGGATGTTAACGATGAATAAGCTAAAACGAGAAGAAGAAATATTATGAATTTGGATAAACGAACATTCGTACAGTGACATTTTAACATTGACTGGAATCGTAGAATGAATATTTTGTTATGCTCTCGATTCGTTTGTAACTAACGAATTCGTTCAAAAACAAAATCGTGATCACTTTTATACACATAATCACACAGGACATAATGTTCCTCGTACGATTCGTCCGCGTAAGATCGAAAAATCGCAAATAAAATGGTGTTTCATTGCGCACGTCGCTCTTGTAATACCATTATAAGAAATTAGAGCATTGGCGATTAAAGAAGGTCCAAACTACTCGCGATTGATGAAAAGATCTTTATCAAGTTTCGGCTGCCGCGTGTCGTGCTTAAATAATCGATCGGTCCACATATATTCACGTATGCGAACGTCTACGGACATTTGAATACGCTCGAAATGGCACTTCCGAAATAGTCGCTATATCTTATAAACAAATAAACAAAGTAAGTATTTCTTATTTTGTAAAAAAAAAAAAAAAAAGTAACGAAGAAAACAAAGACTTGAAAGAACGATGCCATTTTCTTACGTATCCTAGTGTGCGTGCAAGTATGTGCGTGTGTGCGTGGTCAGCCACAATATATATATATATATATATACACACATATACACGTATATATATATATGTGTGTGTATCTATGTATATTAAAAAAAAAAGGAAATTGAAAAAATAATGAACGAAAGGTACGCGCAAACTCAAAGCTTAAATAAACGGCTCGCGCGGAGGACCGATTGAGAATTTGCTTCTCCGGCGAGCTGGCATTATACATTCATAAGTATATATATATATATATATATATATATATATATATATATATGCATATATATATATATAATAAATACATATATATACATTTATATGATTCTTTATATACACTATACCCCCTTTAATACTTAACGATAACACGATGTTCTACACCTTTGTACGAAATTATAATTAATACTTCTCTATGACGAAATGATCTCCCATTGTTCTCCAGTCTCAAAGTGTCATGTTGGAACGAAGTTCATTTTTTGTTTTCTCCTTAAGATAAGACCACGGTTATCTCATCTTGTCATAATATCATTCCTCTATTCTTCGAGGAAGAATCAAGTCAATTAGATATTCTCTTTTGGCCGATAATACGCAATAAATAATCGATGGTATACGAGAACGATAGAATCGTCATGCTTTGAGACTTCGGAACGTTGGTTATCGTTTAATATAATAGAAAAAAAAAAAAAACGCTATATCGTCGCATAAATACTGCGCATTTGTCTGTATTTATACTGATAATTAACCAACGACTATGTGTCGGTGTCCCGTTTTACTGGCATGAAAATAGCTCATAGTACTTGTACTCGTATATCAATTAAGTTCGTCTCTTGAAAAGAAATAATGGAAAAAAAAAAACAAAAAAAAAGAACAAAAAAAAAAACAAAATAGGAATGGGAAAGCGTCTACGAAGAACTTTTATGAAAGCTTTTTTATAGATAAACGGGTCTCTCTGTTTAAATCAAACAATGGAACGAACATCGACGGCGTATTCGTAGAGCTTCCATAATAGCTCATACGTGATATAAATGGCCATATTGACTAAAGTCATTATTACAGGACAGGAAAAAGCTATCGATAGACGTTTAAAACGCTTTTATCTTACGAAAAGTTTCTTTTACACGAGACACGCTTACAAAGTAAGGAAAACAATTATAAAACGTACGAGTAGTGACTCCGTAAAGAAAAATAAAAAAAAAAAAAAAGAAAGAAAGTTGCAACATCATAGCTCTTTGGAGCTATCTAAATCGTTCATTTATCTGTATCTAGTATAATAAAAATGCCCAAACATTTTTCAATAGATATGATTTCATTTTCGATAAACATGACACCAAAATCCATTCTCCATAAACACAATTTCAAATATGAATAAAATATCTAACTTTAATTTCTATTCTCGATTGTCGAATTAGCTGTTTGCATATTTCAAAAGATTTAATAATCAATTGATATAAATTTGAAATGTACTTTATATTATTTTAGGACTAGACAATGTATGAGCGATTGCCACGCATATCGAGTAAAAACGATTCAAATATATTGCCACTTCGATTGTAACTTGATATTTGTAAAAGCGAAGTAAATTTTTTCTAAGCCAACTTTCTTAGAGATTAATCTAGCATAGTATTTATCTTGATATTTTTCGCATTAATAGCGATAATATACTGAAAGTATAATGAGTATCGAATATATAATAAGCTAATGATAATAATAATCTACATATAATACTAACGTAAGGCATACGATAACGTCATATATTTAGACTTGTATGCATAATTAATTATACAGCTTTGTCGGCTGGTTAAAAGATTTATCGACTCATTATCGTCAAAAATAACATTCTTCCTCCATCGTGACTTAGCCGACTTTAAATACACAATATACACGAAAAAAAAAATAACAAAATATTTATGTACAAAAAGATGACCAATTTTTGTCTGCTTGTATAACGTTAGTTATTATTAAACTTCTTTTTTATTTGCATGTTATAAAAAAAATGTTTTAACATTACGGAAAAGTTTGATATTTTTTCTGTAACGTTCAATGTAAATTGCCGATTTGAACAATATGCTTCATTATACTTTCACGTGAATAAAGTGAATTTAAGCAAACTAAAAATGATTGCTTCAAACAAAGTAAATAAACGCGATACTCAGTACGCCAGTATACTCGATAGTTTTCTCAAATTTTGCGAGAATTTTTTTATATTCAATTATGTGATCGCTAATGACAATTGTCTCTTCCTTTCCAGTATAATCTGCTATCGTCCTGCTGCGTATCATTATAATATGTATGTGATAAATGAAGAAAACAATCGAACCGTGAATATTTAAAATGTTCCGGACTATACGGATATGTTAGGTTAGTTTTCACAGTACGTGCTAGTGTAAAGTGTCCTTTTATATAAATAAATGATTTTGTATGTCACACATTGTTTTTTTTTATTTCTCCATTTTCCATATAAATTTACGACAATATTTTTCTTATAAATATTCTTTCAACAAATACGCAGATAAAAGTTACGAAAAGTTAAAAATTAATTTTAGAGTGGAAATCATAGTAGAAAGAAATAAGAATCAATAAAAGAAGTATCTAAAATTCTGAAGAGATCGATAAATAATCATGTCAATAAAAATAAATCAGGTGTACCATTTCAATATTTAATCAGTCTATATCCTATTTTATTGATCATTGATTATTTGTGTTTATTGATTTATTGATGACCTATGCCACATTACTGTTAGATGTCGCAACTTCAACAAACATTTTCGAAATCATTCAATATTAGGCAATGAAAATATATACAAATTCTGAAGCAATTCATGGCGTCTAGGAGATCGACATAAAACTTACAAAATTTTATGAAATACTATGAGATATGGAAAGAGTCTTATTCATAAACATCAATAAAAAAGCAATAATAGCAAATGATAGATTTCATTACTTATTGTTTCAAATGTGATTTTTTAAGTAATATAAATGGAAAATCTATAATGAAAATCTAAAATCTATGATAACTTCTTTGCCATCATTAATCAACGCGCAAATGATAAAAGTATTACTTTGATTTTTAGTTATTATGATTTGACTAGCTAAAAAATTATCTATAATAATATCAAAATCATTTTAAAAATATAAAATATATGAAGTGATTATTCATAAATAACCAAGCAAATATCTTGCAATTGATTGAAGTTAGAAAAAAGTTTGCACGGCTCTGAGTTAGCTACAAAGTAAATTTAGCTACAAAATAAAAATTTTTTAAATGGGTGGCTACAATTCTTTTTTTATATTTATATACTAGTATTCATTTTCAATTTAGTAAAAAATTGCTATTACGCATCGTTTACGAAATAATCAGTATCTTATGTATTAAAAAAGTTAGTTTACTATTACAATTTGAAAAACAATCGGCAGATTACATAATAATATTTTTAATATTTTTAAATCTAATCGATTATGTCAAATAGTATCACTGGCCATTAAGTCCTTAAAATATGCGACTTGATTTGTAAATAATATGTTTGTATAGCATGAAGTATGAATTAACAGTACATGATAGTCAGTCGTTATGATGCCAATCATATCGTAAAAGATGCATAGTAGCAAGGTATCATTTTGATTGCAAATGATAACTATTACATAAATATGAAAAAAAGAATTATAGGTATCCATTTAAAACAAAAAGTATATTGACTTTCATATCTCAAGGTCATGAATAAAAATATTTTTACGTGTACTTTGTAGCTAACTTAGAAACATTCAAATTTATCTTAATAAACTTTTTTATATTTCAGTCACGATATATTTGTCACGAGACACCTATAAACAAACATCCTGTATATTAAACAATATAATCAATATTGACTCATAAATTAATAATCATTATATAATTAAAATAAATATATACAATATTGATTCGTTAATTTATCTTTGTGTAGTGAAATGCTTGTAATTGTCAAGTCAAATCGAGACTACGAACTTTCTAATTATCAACATGATTAGTTAATACAATTACATAAATTAGTATGAAAAGTTAAACTTGTTCAAAGTTCATAATTATTCAGTAACGAATTAATATTTTAATTATTTTTAATCTTAACGCAGGATAAATATTTAATCAAGATACTTTAATATTTAAAAATCTTATTTTAATGCCAATATCGTATATATTTTAAGGCTGTTTACTACATTTTGTTCAAAGCATGTGTGACTTCAACAACAGGTGACAAAATATAAATTACAAAAGAAGCGAAGAATGTGTCCTTACCATGCCACTATCATATCGGTGTATAAGCTTGTGTTGGTTATTCCACACTCACGAGCCATAACAATTGGTTTCGTGTGAATAGAGTGAGTAGTTTAGTAGATTGTGAGCTCACACTTTTCAGTATTATAAGTATATCTTTCTTTAATGGTAACGTGCGTTTTGCAGTGATCCATGCTGGATACGACGTTGGTACGCATTTGTTTTACAATAAATATATAGAAAATAATAAATATAATTAATACATATATATATATGTATATAATAATAATAATATAATAATATAATAATAATAAAAATGTATTTAAATATTATTTATATACATCTAGATATTATTTAATACATTTGATATTATAATAGTAAAGACAATTAGCTTCGACTGATCATGAGTAAAAACAGTATGAAAACAAATGGATTACGATTATAAAGTAATAAGACAAAGAGAAACAATAGCGAATGAAAACAAAAGAAACATTTCGTACTTTTCTTGATGTGTTTATCCAATATAAATTGTCATTTATATTAGATGGATGGTCATGTATCGAAATTATCAAGGACACGATTTGTTGAGAATTTGCGCGTCAAACCACCACGTAAAATAATACATTTTTCCTTCTTTTGTTATCATAAAGTACCGTCATCATACATGTCACGTTGTTTCAATATAAATATATTCTTCTGTTTCTTCTTTTTATTACTGTTTTTATTATTATATTATTACATTACATATTATTATTATAGTAATAGTAGTAATAATAGTAATAATATGAAGTGAACTCCTTCAAAAGAAACTAAAACAAAATAACGCTAGAAAAAAAAGCTCATGGATAATATGGAAACGAACTCGTATTTTGATCCTTATTAAAAATAATATATAATATATATGTTCATTAATTATTAATTCTAAAAAAATAATCGACAAATATATATACTTTATATACATTTGTCATCGAACAAAATTATACTGCTGTTCTGTCCTATTTACCATAGATTATCGTGAAATGCATATCAACTATCAATGGAGAAAATAAATATGAGATTGAATAGTAACACTTTACTAAATTATCAAATAAAGAAAAATGAGTAAATTAATTCATTATTTTCATTTACATCGATACGATAAAAAAAACCATTAGAATCATTTAAGCCACGAACCTAAGATTTCAATTACGAATCTAAATAATTGCCAATATGTTATACATGCTCTCTTTTTAGTCTATCTAAATCTAAAAGGAACTATAAATTTTTCAAAAATTTAACAATATTTTAGAAACTCAGATCCTTTGACATAAACGGATTAGATACGTATTTCCTTATTTTTGCCATTTATCTGGCCAAAGCTTACTAAAATGATCGAGTGAGTTACCGTAGCTTCTCTGCGCGACAATCGAGAAACCCATTTTTTTGCGTTTAGAAATGTTTAAAAAAACAAATATCAGCTATTTACGCAACAATTAAGCAAGCAATCGCTACTTCACAGATATAAACATACGCCATTCAAACGTGTATATAAAAATCGATAGGCGGAGCAAGCCGAAAATTTCGAGGAACGCAACAGTACTAAACTTTTTCTTCATGAAGAATATAGAAAACAACGATTATGTCATTACTGAGAACAGACGTAATTATCGATAAATTGTAATGAACTAGGTCTCATTTTAAAGACAAAAGTTTACTCTAAAGTTTTCTATTTGTACATAAATTATTCTTGAAAAAATATCATTTTTAGCATGATTTTTTTCAAAGAAAATAAAACTTTTTCAAAACTCTACCAAAAAAATATCATAGATTAAACCTTCATTTTTAAAATGAGACCTTGTTCATTAAAATCGGTTAAGAATTACGCCTGTTCTCATTGATGACGTAAACCATTAAAAAACCAGGAATACGACCTTAAATTCTTTCATTTTCTTGTATTTAGTTCAAATGTTTTATTACTAGATGGCACTTCAATAATTATTCTTATGGTAGATCGATAATTCTTACTTTACCGATGCAGCAAGAAGAGAATATGATTTAGTCGGCAAAGAAAAAAATGAAAGAAACAAAAAGGTATATAACACCTAAAGAGCTAATCACGTTTTGTATCGTAATCTATACACTTCTTATAATTAAGTTTATTTATTTTTAATAAAATTAAATTTGTTTTTAATTTTTAAAAAAATTTGAATTCATTTAATAAAGATCTTTAAAAGCTACTTCAACCAACTACGATTAATTTTAATTAATGATCAAAGTAGTGTAGCCGACAAAACTTTTAAGTATCTTATTTTTAATCTATATTTTCATTATATCTAATAACCATTAAAAAATTTTATACATAATATGGAAGAGACGTAATATTAATTAAAATAAACTAAAAAAATACATATATACATTTTCATATTATATATAAAATTTCTGAATGATTGATATCATAAGAATATAGATTAAAAATGACAGTTAAAAGTTTTACTATTGGCTATTCAGTATCGATCATGGCATTAATATTTCTATGATAAATATATAATTATAGACACATTTTTTATCAATAGTTATGAATAATAGACATGTTAAAATTATTTCTTGTTTTTACCTAAACTTTATTACAATTATAAAATGTAATAATAATAATAATAATAATAATAATAATAATAATAATAATAATAATTATAACAGAAAAGTTTTGATAACTTATACTGTACTCAATCAGAAGAAAATTAAGAATACCTAAAGCGTGACGCTGATGGGTCTAGTGACATTTATGTAGATAAACAGACAACTTTTTGTCCCTACACTTCCGACGTTAGCAGGAACAGGAAGACAGTTAACAGGAACTGTCCAATTTTTTGCAGTTTTATTTTATAAAACTATAAAAATTAAGATCAGAAAGTGAGATTAAATTAATAATTCCATTACATTAGTTTTTATTAATTTGTATTATTTATAATTTGAAAGTGTTTATGTGTTGTAAGTTTATATAAAATATGTTTGAAAGTGAAGATTGGAATTTTGATGAGGTAATTAAGAATTATTGTCTTTACTTTATTAGTACATTGTTAAATAATTAATAAGTCATTCATACAATTTAATAAGTAAATCATATATTTAATGTACATTTAATATGTTCTAGGAATTTTTGCAAGATGTAGATGATAAAGCATCAAAGTTCTTTTCACAATTGGAAAATGAGGAAATAGAATTACCTGTAAAAAAACGTAAATTGAATATATATAATAGTACTATTATTTCACCCAATAAGATCATCAATAAGCAACAAAGTACAACAAACAATAACAATGAAGACTCCAATGAAGTTGACATAGGTTATACATCAAGACAAAATTTTGTCTTAGGCTTATTTCAACAAACTTTAAAAACAAATGATGATTCTAAAAGTAAATGTAAGAATCAAGAATTATATAGTAAAGTAAAATCATGCATCGAAAATACTTCACAAGAAAATATCATTTCCCAAGGACTAAATGGATCTAAATTAGAAAATGATTTAAATATACAAAAATTGAGAAAGAATATAGTACTTGATATTCTTAAAAAAAAGAATGTCAAAAATTTAACAGATAATAATAATACAATTTCTTCTAATGAAGTTACACCTATTCATTCTCAAAGTCAAAAGATTATAGATAGTGAGAAAAGTGAAGTCGGATTTAACAATTTATTACGGAAATCAAATTCTTGTCCGCTAAAATCACATAAATCACCTTTTTTCCATAAGAATGAAACACTTACTAATACTACAATTTCTAACATAAGAAATTGTAATCAAAAATCAATTATAAATGAAGATCATGATAAAAGACAAAACAAATTGATACAAGAAGTATCTAAAAATATGCAACAACCAATAAACAAGAATATTAATGATAATATGCCAGATATATCTACAGATTCAAGAAAATATTTATTAATGCAACATTTAAAACATTCTACTTCATTTAATGAAGGATTTGATAATATAAAGCATCCATCTTCTATATTTAAAACAGAAAAGCAATCAAACAAGAAAACAACTCTTGTAAGAAAATTTCCAGGACCAGCTGGATTATTACCAGATATCATTGACACTTCAATAATTTCAACATATTTAAAAAATTTAGAAGACAGCAAAATTGAAGGCATACAAGATCAGAAGGATACTAATTTAACAGAGTATTGTTCTCAGAATACTAAAACTTTGTTTTCAGAAGGTGCTTGGCAAATAATGTTAGATGATTTACCTACAGAATTCTTAAAAAATTACGAAATTGCACAAATTAAGCAAATAGCTAGCGCAAATCAACATCAGTGCATTAAAATACCATTTCTTGCAGGCATAATAGAAAATATAGATTACAGCCATGAAAATCCTTCTATTGTATTAAAAGACTTTACAGATAAAATTGAAGGAACGATACATGCAGATATTCCTGCAAAATATCCTGGAACTTTAGAGAAAAATGTTGTAATTTTATTACAAAATGTAGGATTATTATGTATTTCAGGGACGTTTATTATTCATAAATATCATATTCTAATTTCGCCTTCAAATTTATTAGCAATTTATTCTCATACAGGAGATATTATACATACACTACATATGGAACTTTTAAAGAAAGAATTTTGCATGATCGAATCTAATTCATCAAATTTAAATAAACTTCAAGATGATAATATAATAGAAGGAAATTTAGATAGTTCATATATTTATCAAGAAGATAGTTCATCCTCTAAGAAAAATTGTAACAAAACATATGGAAATCTCAATCAATCGAATAATTCTGATATTGATTCAGGCCTATGTTCATTTTCTGTGGATTTAAATGGAGTTAGCAATTCTCAGAATCAGAAAAATTTTAACAAATCAAAATTATCAACGAATTTATTTGAAAAAGAGAAGAATACAAGTTTAAAAAATGATATTATAGTGAAAGAAAACAAAGAAAATATACATGATAATAAAACTACATCTTTACAAATCTCAACAGACGCTTCATTAAAATGTCTTCAAGATCGAGATATAAATAGCAGTGATAAAAGAGAAAATAATGATCAAAATCAGAATGTATCAATAAAATCAAGACTTTCTATTTTTAAATGCAGAGATGTTGTAACACCAGTAGAATCCATTTCTGGACATGAAAATTTGCATACTGAAGCAATATTACAAAATAATAAAAAACCTGATAATAAAAAAACACTATCAGTGGACAGAAACTGGACTGAAAATATATTACACAATAATGATAATGATTCTGATGATGAAATGTTATCACAATTAGATGTGGACAGTATATCATCTAGTTATTATGATCAAAAAAGTTAAATGTTTTTTCTTTAAATTACTTCTTTCTCTGAAACTACACTCATTTCAAAAGGATGAGTCAGTGGTCAGCACCAACATTTAAGAAATATAAATCAGTATTTATATTTTATAAATCTGTATAAATTTATAAATATGTTCATATTTTTTATATTTTTTATGTATATATTTAGAGTAGTTCATAATACTATTTAAATATCTTTAGTTTTCATATGTATTACATTTTTTCTATTGATTAGTATTGTGATTATACAAATATTTTCATAAACTACCAGTTAAGAAATGATCGAAATTATGTTATTATATTACATATTTATTACGTTGCTTTTACCAATAATGTATTTAAAATGAAATTAAGGAAAGAATGATATTAAGTTATCAGCAATATCATTCTATAATTCCTCGTTGTTACAATTATATATATAAATTATTAATTTTATACTTGTACAAAAAAAGAGATAATTGAAAATAATTAAACATTTTTATTTTCCTATAACGTAATATCAATGTTGATAATTGATATTAATAATAGCGTTTTCACACACAACTCAGCAATCAAACTCACTGTTACAATTATGTAACAAAACTACAGTAGCCAATGCTATAATCTATTATTCGTCACAATCATTTATCCGGTCGAATTTGATTCGCACCTTGAGCAATAATAATTATTGAATTCGTTTAATTCAAGTCACATCTTAAATACATTTAAGAACAATTAGATTAGACAATGCGACGCTAAGATAAACATTCTTATGTTAATTTTATTGATATCAGAATTGTACGGAAAATTAATCGTATCCACATTACTGTTATTATAAAATTAAATTTTTGAAAAACAAATAACATACTTAAGTAATGTTAACAATCTGAAAATTGATAAAAAATAAACCTGCATACTTGAAATTACAATGAGTGTATTTGTTGTTCATCGGGTTAATAAAAATAAAATTATTTGACAACTATATAAAACTATCTTTAAGTTAAATCTCGTTTTTAGCAAACTATTCAAAATAAGGTCAAAAATGAATCACAGATAAGAGAAGTAATCAACTTATATCTAAATTTTTATAATGTATCAAATCTATAAAAACAAATAATTGAATTTTGACATTATGTATACAAGTGATTAATCGATAAAACGGAAAAGGAAATAAGTTACTACTAAAAAATTTAAAAAGTAGATATATATCTCTTTTCCAACTCAACTATGATTCAAAGCATATTAATTATTTTTCTATATAAATTCAATAATGATGTACAAAAAATATATAATTTACGAAATAATTATCGTTCTATTTGTGTGTGTATGATATTCTCTCAAATATATCGTCTTGTGATATTATGCATTTATATAACTTTTTATAAAGATCTGTATACTTTTTAATTCATACAAGTTATTAGATTTTCAATTAGACAAGGTCATACAATTTTAATTACAAGTTTTATAATCATAAAATACTTGTACTTGGAAAATTAAGATAAATGACGATAAATTACTACCTAATTGCTTCACTCTTGTAGACAATGGTGGATTTAGTTGTTAAAAAGTTGAACGCGTTATAAAATTGGGGTTCCATTAAAATAAATCTATTATGCATAATATATATTTTCTCGTTTCAACTGTTCATGCGAATGATGGAATGAGAAATACACATGTCCAAATTCGATTATAGTCGCAAATACAGAAATAAAAATTATATTTCCGACCATCAGATACTGAATTAAATTTATTATATAATATAAATTTGTATTATATTTATATTATATCGTATAAAATTCCCTATCGTACGGGGCCTGAGGCGATCGGCTCCACTGCCTGTGCATAAATTCATCATTCCTTATAGATATATATTTAGATATATATTTGATTCGTTCACAAGCTAAAACGTAAACAAGCTAAAACAATAATTTTATTTTTGAATTTTTTAAAATTTTCTACCAAAATATTTAATTGATGCTTAACTTTTTATATTTTATATAAATTTCCTTGATAATTATATTCAATACCATTAAATAACAAAACTTTGTATAGCATTTTAGACAATTGATTAATAAATAATTTACTTTAGAAACCAATGTGATTAATTTCATACGCTAAATTAAATTATTAATTTTATAAGAATATAGATCAGCCTTTACTATATCCTAGTAGCAGAATTATAATAAAATAAAAGAAAGATATAATAGACTTGTGGAAATATATCCCCCTTTTAAACATGATTAGTACAAAAACTTAAGAATACAAATCGATGTGACAGTACATCTGAATGCATCTGACGAAGAAAACATTATTTATGTCGATAATAAAAACAATTATTATGAAATTTAACCATTTAATAATAGCAGTAATAGTAACAAACAGTTTCCACTAATTTTTCCTCTAAAACTCTTAAATAAACAATAATCAAATCGAAAAATTCTTAGTTGTGCGAAATTTGCATTAATAATAAAGATTATTCCCGGCATATAATATTTTAATGCAGTTTACATGTCATGACGTAAAAATTACATCTGTAATTAATACATTCTAGAATATATTTTTCAGTATATATTTTATAAAATAATTTAAAAATTGATATATAAATTTATTAATTTTCTTTATTTTTTGTTTTGTGAAACTAATTGATTTGATGAACGGCTGAATATATAGACAAGTATTTAAGTTTTCTTGCATATTAAATTTATTACAATTGTGATCACTCTAATAGTGATAGTCTTAGCGAAACGGAACTTGTGCAAATCATAAGACGATATATTCACATGATTATCAGTTGAATTTTTATTTTATTAAACATTTAAGACACCTATAGAATATCGAAGATTAAAGCGTATCCATCGTGATCCGTTGTGTTGCTTCTTTAGTACCTTCATATGCTCAACCCTTCCTTATTTCTTTTCCATATTATAACATTCGACATACTATAGTATTAAGTAACCTACCTCAAATTTCTAATCTAGACAAATTACAGTTGATAATAGATACTATTTGATATCCCACGGCATAATCGGGGAGCCTCAAGGTTGATCCAATAGATCAGTTCAGAGCATTGGTATAACCTTCCTTGCCGAGAAGGGAATCCAGTTCATGGGTCTTCTGTATTCGTATTTCATACATCCGCGATTAAGTGGGGTACCGATTCAGGCCAATATCAGGAAAATTGAGATCATTTATTGGCCATTGCGATGCTATAGTAAAATGATACTTAATTGATATCGATCATCTTATCTTTATCACTTTTTACTATTATTACTATGTGACACAAATTTGATCTATGTGTATTATTTTTCACTATGTAACACCATTTTATGGATATTCATTAAATATCATTTAACTAAAATTTTTCAAATGAGAATTTCATACAAATTTTTAATCGTTTCATATTGGTTTAACTTATCGTCTCTATTCCTCGTTGAAAAAAAAGGAAAAAATTATAGACATTACTCAACATGAAAATCAAAATGATTTAATTTAATAAGATTATTCCAGAAAATTTTTGTGACAAAAAATATAATAGCGTTGTTTTTCTTCTGCAATAAAGTACATAATAGCCAAATTTAATACCATCGATTAGATTAGCGCGAAAGTAACAAAATTCTTTATTGTGTGCAAAAAATGGCAAGGATTATGCAGATCAAAAATTTCATGATATTAATAAATTTTTTTTTTGCCGAACAACATTGCGTCAAAATTCTTTCATGTTTCAACAGAACATCGAGTATTAAAAATTAAATATTTTCTTTTACTTGCTCAAAAGAGATAAAAAGAGAAAGTAGATAATTCAGATCCTTTCAAAGAAAAATGCTTTTTTACAATACTATTTTCCTATACCACTACTTTCCATTATTATTTTCTATCGTAATAGGATAATCCTACTAAATAATATACATTAAGTAAGATAACACATAGATTGATCTAACAATGAGAAAGAACTTTGCCATTAATCTACGAACAAGACAAATAGAACGTTTAAATGGATGTTTAACATAAAGTACCGTTATTGTAACAAAAAGAGAAACGAGATTGCAACTTCCATGAAATAATTATCGCATCGTTTTTACCAAGGAATATATATATATATTTACATACATCAAGGATTCGATCCTTTCACGTGCGCGCTCGTGTAACCGGTAGCAACACATACACATACACACACACAGAAAAAGAGGGAGAGGAAGAGAGAGAGAGAGAGAGAGAGAGAGAGAGAGAGAGAGAGAGAGAGAGAAAGATAGAGTATATACACAAATACATATATATGTAAGTGCGTTGGTGACGTAAAGTTTTGCTAAATAGGTCGCCATACCATAGATAGACGGTATTGATAATTAAGGCTTGCTGACCAACGGTCACCGATCATTTTCTCCTTTCTATTTGTCCGTGACACGTGAACAACACGTAACACGAAATTACGTATTCTCATATTTCACGCATGTACATATAATTCTTTATGATAATCTAATATAATACGTGCATGTATATATACATACATATATGTATATATACATACATATATATATATGTATGTATTCATATTATATATATATATATATGTATGTATTCATATATGTGTATATATATATATGAAAAATAAAGTTCGTAATTTTGACATTAGTTACATTTTATATGTTCGACTTTAATAAGAAATAATGCAATTTTCGATCGAGAACTATTTAAAATTACTGAAAAATAAATCGAATGCAATGAAAACGTAGTTACAAAAAAAAATATTGCAAAAGATACAGATAAAAATATTCAACGTTAGTTGGTAATCTCCAAGATATTATTTTCAAAGAATTAACTCGCAATATAAATAATCTCGCAATGCATACATGATCTCAATAATAATACGATTTTATCGTGTGAATACCGAATACAATAACTAGCGAAGGATTATCATTATCGATCGAAGAATTTCGGCGAAATATGTGTGCAAATGTATATATTTATGTATGCGTTTACGCATTTGTTCATAATTGATCTAGTCATTAAAATAGCTTGTAATCTCTTTGTTTAATACCACTGTCAGACATATACCTAGAATGAAGACAACTGTTTTGAAAAAGGACGTAACGTCGTGCAATATGATGATATTAAAGAAATTCGCATACTTAATTTTTCATATCATCCGTTTTGACGCAGTCGCTTTCTTGTTTTATTTTTGCTTGTAAATTAATAAAATAAATAATTAAGTTAAATATCTAATTCGATTAACAATTAATAAATTAATAAAGTGAATATTACGTTTCTTCCGAAGAAAGAGAAACGAAATAATGATGAACGATAACAACTGATTTAATATTTCTACGAATATTTTAGTCAATACGTAACAATAAGTAATCGAATATAGTGATTGAAAGTTAAAAATCTTTATTTTTGCAATAAATAATTAAACATAGAATCATTTATCTACATTGAGAATTAATGCCAGTTAAGCGATATTATTTAAACTCAATTTATTATCCAATCAGTAAATTTATTTTATCAAATCTTGGAAAATAATACGTTCTATTATCATTCAAGAGGGATATAGATAATTAAATTATACTAAAAAATAAAATGATATTTGAATCTTAAATCTAGAATTATATAGTTTTTTATCAGTCTTATTACCAGTTATCATTTCAAACAAGTCTCTTCAAACAGATTAACATTGTATCGCTATCGTATTATTTTTTAGACGTCATAAGATCCCAAATTATAAATTGAGAATAAATTGATAGAAATTTAAAATGGAAATGATGTTCACCTATCGTTGGTTCATTTACATATAAGTGTGAAATCTTCCGAGTTTAAGCAAAATGCCTTACGTTACGTTTCCAATTCCCACTCTAACCGGATTATTGCGAAACGGCAGCCGTGCCAGATTTCTGCGCAATAGGTATTTGATTATTTTTCTTTTTCGGGCGTCTCTCAAACATTGTTTTGTAACGAACATGAATTGAATTCAAAAAATAAAGTAGATAATTTCGTGGATTATACGGAATAGCAAACTCATTATAATTTAAAAAACAAAAACCATCCATGTATTATAATATATATATATTATAATACATGGATGGATTATATTACGTCGATATGAAAGATCCTATAAAAAACCCTCTTTTATTTACTTTTTTCTTTTTTCCTTTTGTTGTTAATAAATGATGATAATAGTTTATAATTTCAAACTAACTACGTTTGTTTTGTTATGTTTATTTGGAAATATCAAAGAGTATTTACAGAACGAGTAAAAAGACATATTTACAAATGACAAAACAATAACCCAAATGAGACGTGTATAATTGACAACATAAATACACTACATTGTGTAAATGATTATATATGAAGGAAAGAGAGGGGATGAATGAAAGAGGTGGGGGAAATTCGAGATGACAACGTAAGAGCCGAAGAGTTTGAAATATCACACTTATAGCCGTAGTACTCGTTTGAGTTTGACGTGAGACAGGTGTATTAGCGTTCATTCCAAGTCATGACTTTGTGCTTTGAGGAAGAAACATAAAGAGAGTCTAGTATAAAATCACACTTGAACAAACGCGAGTTTCATTGAATTCGATTGTTATCGAATTTGCGCAACTCGGACGCTCCTTTCGATTTCTATGTAAATTTTATTTAGCTCTTAGTTTGTTTCTTTCTCTTTCTCAATTATCTTTTTAATCTTTTTTTTCCTTTCTTATCTATCAGTCATCTTAAAGGAAAGAAAAATTGTTACTGTTATAATATTCGTAAGGAATCCGTTGAAAATTAAACATCGAAAATTAATCCCAAGACATCTCGGTTATGTCCAGATCCGCGCGAAAAGCGCGGACGGCATTCTAAAAAAAAGAAACTGGAATTATCTGTGCCTCGAGGAAAGATACAGGCAAACTGGGTGAGTAAAACTTCGTTTCGTTTCGCTTAATTTTTCTCTTTGTTCATATCTTTCAAATATGATCTTCGCGTATGTTCGTGGAAAAGTATTTTTTAATATCTCCGATCTCTGTAAAATACTTCTATTGTATATAATTTAAAAATTAATTCAAATTTATTCAAATCGATTATAATATAACCAACTTTTTATACATATTTGCAATCTCCTAAAAAAAAAGCGATAAAATTGCGATCACATTTTTCCTTTCCATCTGAGTCATCATAAATATTCCTACTTATACGTAAAAAGTTGAAAAATAATGATGAAATAATGTCGCTTAGAGAATTAAATAGATCGGAAAATCATAATTAATAAATTTTCTTATTTTTTGGCTAATTGCATTGATGAATTTACGTTATCATATGCAATAAATAATCTTGACTATAAAATTAATTCTAAGCCACGCTCGTATCGCAATATCCTTTTAAAAAATCGCGGTTTATTTTTTTTCCTATACATAGTCAAATCGAAAGTAGCATAACGTAGCAGGATGTACCTTGTCGCCTAATAAGAATAGAACGAGTTATTATGCAACCCTAATTATCTCTTTTCATTCAATTGTAAAACACGGAGTTACAATGTCGCTATCGCAAGAATTTCCACCTGATCTATCTGTCCGTATAATTTCGTTAAATAATTACTGCTAATCATTAATCATCGTTTATATGTCGCAAAGAAAGACTTACAATCATTATGTCGTCTTTGACAACTTTTACAATACTGGTCGATTTTCTTATAACAGTTTCAAAGAACTCAGTAGTTACTTGCCTTGCTATATCTTACAATTCTTATCGCTTCTTCACTTTCAAATTTCATTTGACAGTCTACAATTATTTTGATATTAAAATGTCGGGAATCGAAGAACTGTTGCATAAGTGAAATAACTTACAAATTAGTCAGTCAATATATATTAAATAAAGCAGTTATTATGTTTTTGTGACTAGACGAACGCAAAGAAAATGAAGTAATACCGATACAATATATCACATGTTAAATACAATATGTTTTGTCCTAGTGAATTTTTACTGTAGAAGTTAAAAATAATGATAACATATATCGTGAACAAGCTGAAGCAAAATATTCATTACTTTTTTTCTTATCGTATTTTTTCTATAATAATTTATAAGGAAAAAAAAGAAGAAAAAAATATGGACGTGTACGTTGATATTTTATCTGTCCAAATATTTCCATACAGCTAATCTCTTTGATAGAAGCAATAAAAACGAGCTCAAAAGAAATATATTCTGACTTTGGCAAATATAATAATCATTCGTACAGTTATCGCACGTCGATCTTATGCACACCTATATATATAGAACGTCAAAAGATATACCGGACAAACTTTTCGAAGGATACATTTGGTGTGCGTCAGCGATTTAAAAAAATACTACCTGTTTGACGGCCTTGTTAAAATTGAGGTTTTTGTGTTGTCTCGAGTATAACTCAGACAACACAATAATAAAACGTTTTTAAAGTGAATTCGATTTAATCTCATTTAATATGAAATGTTTAAAATTTAATTTTCATCCGACGAAGATGAAAACAATTTTGCAATAAATAAGACGCCTTAAATTTGCATTAAATTGAATAAAAAAATTTCTTAATTCGACCTTCATCGAAATATTTCCAACTGATTCTCAAATGTTTTATTTGGAATAATTTTAGTCTACTCGAATTTATCGAACTATGTCGTATAATATTTTTCACGTACACAACACATTACAGTATTGTAATTATCTACTTATTGTTCCTTTAAACCAACATGTTTATGTTCTTGAGGATTAATTGTAACAGTACTGAAAATTAAATAAAGCGGTTGTAAAGGAATTTATAACGACGCAATGTAACAGGATTTTAAACGGGTAATTAAGTACGGCAAATTAACACAGATAAAAACATATATTATACGTATTATAAATATTATACTTCGTTCATTAATGGCGCCTTATCAGCGTGTATTCATCACTTATAGCACCAAATTACTTTCTTTTCGGGTTATTTATTCTCTCGATACATCAATTGCATTTGCACTAACTTCATACAAAAGCTGTGAACTTCATTTAGACGGTATGAATGATTTGAGTAATGAATTATTTCGTTATTTGACTGTACAACGGCTGTACTAACTGTGTGTAATTCAAGTGCACGGTCAACGTAATCGCATACGACCATGATTTATCTTTCGCGTCACTTCCGCTTTAAAATGATTTTTCAAGGAAAAGGTTATCGCGAGTCTTGACTTGCGCGGATAAGCTTTGAATTTCTTCGATGATCGAATGTCTTGTCAAAATTCTTTTACAATTTTACAATTCGAGTAAATCATGAAAATTGTAAGAATTTTATCCAATAATGCATAGGAAAAATATTTAAATGACAATAACGTAACAATTGAATGCATTGTAAATATGTAATTATTTTCAGTGCGATATAAAGGGAGAGAAAAGTTTTCTAAGCTGACAACTACGTCTTGAAAAAGCGAAAGTTTCTAATACAGAATCACTGACCTTATTTAGATAAACGATCTCGAAGCTATCTTGAGGCGATTATGAGCAATTCGAATGGTAAGAGGATCAACTTTTTAAACAAAGAAAATAAAACATTTTTTTGCATATTCTTCCGCTGTTCATTTTTCAATATATCGTATTTAAATTTTACAAATTTACTTTTATTTCGAAATACAGATACTTAATTATTGCATATTCATTGATAAACAAAAATAAAATATAAAAATAATATTGAACAAAATATTAATACTTATTGAAAAGAGCTCACTGTAATGTAATAAAGTAATACATCTATATCTTCGTGAAAGAAACAAACGAATTAAAATTTTTATGAGACGTACTTTTATGACATTACAGAGGTATTATTGTATTCTTATCGCGTAAGCTTATTTCTAAAATCTGTAATATTATACATAATTGATGGTATTAGAATGGCAAATAACAAAATCCATTACTGAATCTCCGTTCTATTTTAGCATGGCAAAACAATTCGTCTTCTTTTTCTTTTTTTTTTTTTTTTTTTTGTTTTTTTTTTAAATATATTCTACTATGTTAATCGTTATATCGTATCAGATCAAATAAGATAATGGCAAGATGTCAACGAAAGATCGCGCCATTTACAAATACGAACCATAACAAGAATTTATAACTTATATATTGTGACTTATTTCTTTATTGCTATCTTAAAATATATGTATATTTCATTATATTCTACTTATAATTTAATTGTATCTATGTATATACATTAATCTTCTGTCCTAGCTATAAAGAAAGATGAACAGTCGAAAATAGACTGTCAAAAGATCCAAACTGGCCAAGATGAAGATATAGTAAGATCACTTTTTTCTTGTTTTTTATTCTTCGATGTTATATATATGATATACCCTATTAAAATATGTAAATATATAATTTCAGCAAGTATATGGATTTGAAAGGAGTACATTGAAAACGATTATAATTTACATTTCTTATATATTAACTGTCGGTTTCGTAAGACTTCTTTTCCATTGGTACCCGCGATTGTATTTGTATGCAACACATAGGAAATGCCCTTTAAAGGAAGCCACAAAATTGCTTGTGATCGTAAGTGTTATTACTTCTTGAAACAATTAAAATCATTATTAACGCACAAGCCTACCATTATTATTTTTCTCTTAATAGAAGATAAAAATTTACGTAAAATAACAATAATTATACATGCAGGATGACTATCAAGGAAGGTATAAATCCTATTTCGTGAAGAACGTTAAGACAATATCTACTGAAAACGTGAGGTCAGTTGAATTTCAATTACATATATATGATTATGATACAATTATAATTCGTAAGAATAGACATAAGAGCGTACATAACGTAAATTCAATTATAATAATAAGATAATCTATTGGAATGATATTTCGATTATCATTGATTAACAATTAATATTTTATACAGATAATATCTTATTAGATGATACATTTTTCAGTGATAAATCATTCAGTTCAATTTTGGGGAGCAATAGTATAAACTTGCTTGAAAGTGTCAGAAATAAAAAACTTAAACTTAATTTAGAAAATGGTACAAAATCTGAAGTAACAGAGTATAAAGCATTTTGGTGTAAAAAACAATGTTATATTTGGGATGTTACACAAAATGCATTTTCTAAACTCGTTGGTCTTGACAAATATATGTTGTGTTCAGACCTTCATCTTGGTCAGAACAAGGGACTTTCTAAGGAAGAACAATTCCTAAGGTATTTTAACATATAAAATAAAATAATTTAATATATAAACCTTAATAATTGCTTAATATTGAATTCCACTTATACAGAAAATTTACTTTTCTTTATTTAAACTTTATAGGCGAATCGTCTACGGAAACAATGAGATTGTTGTGCCAGTACAAAGCATAGGTGTATTATTATTATTGGAAGTTTTAAATCCTTTTTACATCTTTCAAGTATTTACTTTAGCAGTATGGTTTGCCGAAGAGTACCTCTATTACACCATTGCTATAATATGCATGTCTTTTTTTGGAATTACAAGTTCCATTTTGCAAACACGTAAAGTAAATAGATTACAACTATAATTATCCAATTATACTTTTTGTTAATTTAATATGTGTAAAAATATAATTTGTGTATACATTAGAATCAATTGAATCTGAAAGGAACTGTGGCCTCTTTTGAGAATGTTAGAGTATATCGAAGTTCTGGTATATTTGAAAGCATTTCAAGTAATGAACTAGTACCAGGTGATATTATAGAATTACCAAACCATCATGGGACAGTTGTATGTGATGCAGTATTATTGACTGGACAATGTATAATAAATGAATCTATGCTAACTGGTAAGTATATCTCATTGAAAATTTATTTGACAGTTAATATCGATTGAAGAAATATTTATTTTTTGATTAGGTGAATCTGTACCAGTTTCTAAAACACCATTACCATCAAATCAAGTGCCATATGATTCAAAACAGTCTTCTCATCATACATTATACAGTGGAACTACTATAATTCAAACTAGGTATGTATAATGAAAATGTAAAGTTGCATATTTCTAAATATTTCTAAAATTCAACAAATTATTATCTTCCATATCGTAGATGTTATGGAAATAAACCAGTTCTTGCAAGAGTCATTAGAACAGGTCTACAAACTAATAGAGGTGCATTAGTCGCAGCTATATTATATCCTCCACCAGCAGACTTCAAATTCGATCAAGATTCATATAAATTCATTGGAATACTCGCATGTGTTGCTACTTGTGGTTTCATATATACGGTTGTTACCAAGGTAGAAAAAAGTCCTATGGCTATGAATCTATTATTAGCTATTTCTACTATCAGACTATTCAATATCTTTTACAAAAATTAGGCTTCAAGAGGAATTACAGCAGGTGATATTGCAATTAAAGCTCTAGATATAATTACAATAGTCGTTCCTCCAGCTTTACCAGCTGCAATGACAGTAGGAAAATTATATGCACAAGCAAGATTAAAACGTACACAAATCTATTGTATCAATAATAGGGTCATTAATGTCTCTGGCAGTATTAATTGTGTGTGTTTTGATAAGGTAAGAATGTTAGAAAATAATAATTAACATATTGTTAAAAAGTCATTAATCTACAGATTTGGAGACTATGAAATATCAAATTTCTTCTTTACTTTCATCTACTTGTACAGACTGGAACGCTGACAGAGGATGGCTTAGATATGTGGGGTGTTGTGCCATGTACAAATGGTAATCTGGAAGAATCAGAGAAGAATATACCGAAACTACAACATCATCCTCTTTTTGAGGGTATGTTAGTATGTCACAGTCTAAATATCATTAATGGTAAACTTTGTGGGGATCCGTTGGATGTTAAGGTAATCATATAACTCTCAAGATTTATCACTAAATTTGGTTGTAAGATAAATTTAATAAGAATCCTAATTTTTGTTATTATAAAACTAATCATAGATGTTTGAAAGTACTGAATGGATATTGGAAGAATCTGATACAACACAATCAGATAAATATGATCTTGTGGCACCAACGGTAGTGAAACCACCAAAAGATAATAATTTTACAAAAAATATGAATAAAATTTCAGAAATTGGTATTGTGCAACAATATCAATTTTCAAGTTCTTTACAACGAATGTCTGTGATAGTACGTATTCTAGGATCTAACCATTTTAAAGCATACACTAAAGGATCCCCTGAAATGATATTTAGTTTAAGTAAACCAGAAACACTACCAAAAAACATAATAACAACTCTGAAAACTTATACAGAGCAAGGCTATCGAGTAATAGCTATAGGACAATCTACAATAATTGAAAATGGTGCTAAGGTAATATATATTTATTAATTATACAGCATTAATGGACTTTTTCCAATTTAGAAAATAAAATAAAATAATTTTGTATATAGGTATCAAAAATGACACGAGATGAAGTCGAACAAAACTTGGAATTTCTGGGTTTAATTATCCTAGAAAATAGATTAAAAGAACCAACAGTATCAGTTATAAAGGAACTTAGAGAAGCTAATATGCATGTGATAATGATCACAGGTTAGTAATTTGTAGATTTATTTTTGTACTTACAATTAAAATGTTATTCATACATGAATAAAATCTATCTTTTGTTGGTTGATATAGGTGATAATATACAAACTGCAGTAAGTGTTGCAAAAGAGTGTGGTATACTTTTACCTAATGAAACAGTTATAGATGTAGTCATAGTTCCAAATCAATTTAAAAAATTCCAACCAGAAATATTTTTCAATGCACAAAATATAACTCCAAAATTGGTAAGTATGTAATTTTAAAAACTTATCTTAACATCGAAACCTTTCTTTTTTAGTAATGTCACTCACTAATTACTTTTCTCAGAATCTTCAAAGCAAGAAACATATGATACCAATGTTAGATGATATGGAACAGGGAATAGATATAAAAAATTATAGATTTGCTTTAACTGGGCAAACATGGCAATTGTTAAAAGAATGTTATCCTGATATTGTGCCAAAAATTTGCGTGAGGGGAGCAATATTTGCAAGAATGACAAGTGATCAAAAACAACAATTGGTTCTAGAACTTATGCAACTTGGTTATTATGTGGGTATGTATTAACTACGTTTATGAATTCATTACAAATATTTAGTTCGATTTCTTAAATATACTTCATAGTTATGTGTGGAGACGGCGCAAATGATTGTGGAGCATTAAGAGCAGCTCATGCAGGTGTGTCACTCTCAGAAGCAGAGTCAAGGTAAAAATTGAATCAAATTAAAAAAGATTATGTTTCAAAATATACCAAATATTTTTTTTTATAATTTTATATATTTTTTATAATTTTATATCTTCTTTTTTCAACATTTTTTCTCTTTCAGTGTGGCCAGTCCTTTTACTTCAAGAATACCTGATATAACATGTATTCCTAAAGT